CTTCCAGCTGAATCTTCCAATAGCTGGCAGCATCTTTTGGTTTTGGCATTCTGAGACCACGGAAATGTTTAAAAGCAGTAGTTGGAGCTATGACTGATACATTATCTCATGGCCACTCATTCCTGTGGCATCTAGAAAAACTTTTGTGTATAGCTCTAAGTGTCTGGTATCTCAGCAACAAAACACCCCATGCAGTCAGCACCCCTGGATTGCTAAACAGCAGCTCCTTTCCTTCTTAAGGTTTTTAAGGACTGTGCATTAAACCCAACACATGCAGTTTTCACAGTATTTTTAAATGGGAGTCAAAACTAGCTAATGTTGTACCTAATTTGCATGCTCTAGCAGGCTGAGTTTTATTCCCTTCTGGTTTTGTAAATCCGTAGCTGCTGGGCATGGGTTGGCAGTGCTGGACAGGATGATTCTGAGGAGTTGGGGGAGATTGCAGCAAACTGTGCCAGTACATAGAATTATCCTCTTGGGTTTCATCTTGGTAGGTCCTCCAGGATCTATGAGGTTGCAGTCCATCACCTCCCTCCTTCATGACTTTCAACCCACCAGTTGTATCTTCGGTTTTCTGGTTTACCAGAATAGCAGAAGTGGATCTAGCCCTTAGCACTAAGGCCTGAACCTGTCCCGGCCCCTAACAACACTCAGTTATTATCATTGTGCTGATCAGAAGCTGCTGCTGACTTAAGGTGTTAAATGCAGCAGGTGATTTCTTCTATGGTTTTGGAGATGGACTTTTCCTAACAAGCAAATATGGTGAAAAACAACTGCCATGTGTTAACATGCTCTTGGGAGCCCAATATACCTCATCCCAAGTTCATCTGGAGGGAAAGTAAAAAAAAAATAACATCACCTCTACCTAACTCCTTCCAGCTGTATGCTTTTGTTGTCTTCCTGTCAGCTCTGGTGGGCAGAAACAGCTGATCCCAGTCCTGAGCTCAACTGTTCTGTCTTCAGTTGGGATAACTTTGTCACTCGGTACTTTCCAAAGATTATCAGGATAAAAACGACTGTCTGCATGTTCCTGCCCATTGGCAGAAACACTTGACAAAATTAGCCTTGAAATTTGAGTGGTCTGATTAAAAAGTCTGTGTTGATTAAATATCTCATGCATGCTTTTCATTTACTCTATTAATGGCAATGGCTCAAAGCCACATCCTGCACCATGATGAAATAAAGCCACACTGGCAGCTAGTCGCTTCAAAAATGGAGCACTGCAACAGTGAGTAGTTGCAAGGAGGGTTCTAACACCAATAGGTGTCATTGAAAATACCACAGGTGGTTTTGGAGATGCAGAAATAAAATGCTAACCTGGGGGGTCCTCCAGCTGAGCTTCAGTGCTGGTCTTTTTGATATCCACCTGTGCAGCAGCTCACAGGGTTTTGTGCAGGAGGGAAGCCTTTTCTCCTCACAGAAGCCTAGCTGGTTTAAGGCCCTCTTGCAGAGTTGAGCTGTGTGGGCAGAAAACATTTGCAAACAGCTCTGCACAAGCTTCGTGTGCTTTCTCCAAAGGTCTCTGTATCCTAGCAAAGCCAGGTGGGTAGGAAGGTGAAAGGCAGGAAGGCCAGGTGGCTAATGGGAAGCCTGGGTGACGGACACCTCCGGCACGTTTCTGTAGCTGACACATTCCAAGTGTCAGGGGCATAAAAATGGCATGGGAAGGCAGTGGGAAGGTCCGTGGGGCTTGCAGGAGTAGAACTTCGCACTTCAGCAAAAACATTGTAGGAGGCAAGCACTGGAGCAGAAAAAGGGTTTGACCAGCCACCAAGGTGTGAGGGTAGCTGATGCGTGCCCTGGGTGGTGTGGGCTTTACACGTGTGGTCTTAGCTGCTGAGGATACTCTCTGGGGAAGGACACCCACATATGAGTGCTGCTTCAGGCATTAGTACAATCTTTCTATTTCTGGCGTTTCAGTGGCTTTTGTTAGCAGGCAGAAGGGGCAACAGATGTGCCCCCACCAGGTGGTGCAAAAAGTGCGCCATTGGATGCTGCTGGGGTCTCTTTAAAAGGGAAGAGAACACATCCATCCTGCAGCAAAGATGGGAGGCTGAGTAGATGGTGCAGGGGCAGAGAGGAGTAGAACAGATTACCAAAATTGATGTAATGAAATATCCAGGGGGAAATAAAACCCTTAAAGGAAGGACTCAGAGTAGGGAGAGGAAGAAAACTTTGTTTTTATGAGAATTTGTACTTAAATACTTTTTTTCCCCTCAGTAATAGATTTTTCACAAGAAATTTACACCATTGTTACTTCAGTTTTAAAGATGCAAACCTTGTGTAATTGCATAGCTGCATGTTTAATTCCTTGTGTTTAAAGAGGCACAGGCTCTTTAACCTGATCTGAACAGAGCAGAGACACAACAGATAGTGGGGATTCTTAATACTCATTTGAGAATGGGGAAAAGCTACACGTAAGTGCACAGTGAAGTAACTGTTTTAGGATTCATACCTGAATATTATTCTATTCACAAACTCTATCCTGAGACAAATACATGAGAACTTACAGCATAGAGGCATGAAAGGAGCAGGAATAGGGAATAAATGCCAGGGAGTTACAGACTGGAGGTAACACAGGAGGCTGGATGAGAAAGGTGAGGGACTAGATTCATTATTGTACAGTTTTTCTATTTTATGATTTTAAAAACTGGGCAGTTTTGAGGTGATGAGAATGTACTGCTAGTATTGTTTTCTTCTTGATTAACTTTGATGCACTTTTTGCACTTCTAGCTCTCTTAAGTCAGAGTAACACATGCTGTGAGCAGGGAGTGAAGCAGTACCTTCAATGTACTTGGGTGTGGCTTTTTGTGTTTTTTTTGTTTTGGTTTGGTGTTTGTTTTTTGTTTTTGGTTTTTTTTTTAATTTGAGCTAACTAGATATCATCTTGGAGTAGAATAGCCAACAATAGTGGAAGCAGTGTTTGCAATTCATTTATCTTTATGCTACATCTTCTATATTTAGGTATGCCCTTTACTCTGAGTTACACTTGTTGGAGGTTAGGATTTTTCTTTTTTTTTTTTCCTCAGGGAATTTTCTCTCATCTGTTAATAATTTAGAGGGAAGGATATCACATTTTCCATTCCAAGGGAGGTTGCTGCCTTCCTTGGCAGACACCTGTCCTTAAAGCCAGGACATACTTCAGTCGTGTTTGGCAGCAGGTTGACAGCAGAAGCTTCAGTGAATTTTGGGTAGTATATCTGTTTTTTGATAATGTAGTAGTTGTCCTGCAAGAACAGTGGGCAAAGGGAGATTTTTAAAACCTAGTGCAATGGGGCCTTGATCCTATAACTAAGACTTACCTACAAGGAATAAATTACAAAAGATGTGTGATAAAGATTTTCCAGTCATTGCATTGCATGATGACAAAGATGTCTAAAGTAGATATGCTACTCATGATTTAGAAAAGGTACCAGTGGTTATTGCATGAAAACCTGTTCAAATGGGGAGCATGGGATGAGGAAAGTGAACTAGTTTTGAGGGAGTCTGTTGAATACTCTAAACCAGAAAAAGGATCAGGTAACATTCTCTTCTTGAAAGCACTTTACAGTTGCCCGTTTCACCTGGCTGATCTGTTTCTTCCTTGACCTGCAGATGTGGGCATCTACAAGATAAAGCCTGTGAGCCCAGACACCTGAAATAAAGGGGGGTAAGAAATACTAGATATTTTCACCAAATATTCTGCAATGGTTAAATAAGTGTGAGAAAATGAAGTGCAAATAGAAAGCAAGTTTAAACTAATGGCTTGTTTAAACATTAGCATCATTGAAAAAAAAAAAAAAAAGCTACTGGATCTTAGCCCAGATGACCACAGTCTGTATTTTCAGAGCAAAACTGCTCTGCTTAATCTACTATTACTGGGTCCTAATAAAGGTAAGGGCTGGACCTGTTTTTGGTAAACTCAACATCTAACAGGGACCTGACCTAGTGCCATTGAACCTCATACTAATGACAGGACATGTCAGAATGTATTCTTCCAATGTCTGCAGTACTTGTGTAAAGGGATTTAAAGTCTAACCAAGTTTCATAAGCATGGTAGAAGTCTTTCTATAGAAAATTGGTGCCAGATTGAATTTTGCAGGAATGCCTCAAGCAACGGGGATCTTCTCAGCATTTTTTCACTGATTTTATTCTTTAGTGTAAAGGAGGTAGGGAAAGTGATATTCACAAGAGTAGAAAATTCATTTTATGATCACTTTTATACTGAGCAATTTGACAGGCAGCTCCTGTTTTACTAGCATCATTTTAAAGTTGGTACCAAAAATCAGTGCTAGTAAAGCAAGGCCCATGTGATGGAAGATCAGCATATAGGAAAAAAACTAAGTTTCTCAATGTGTTTTAACCTATGAAAATATATCAAGTTGTGTTACCTCATAGGGTTATCTGACTTACTTTGTTTCAAGTAGTTAAATTTTGCTCTACTCCTTATCATGGAAAAAGACTAACGTGCATAGCTAATGGCTGAGAAAATGTTACCTGTCTGCTTTCACCCTGTCCTGGATCTGAGAGTCCTAATCCAAAAATTCCACAGCTGGGTAGTAGAAATTCAGCACTGCCAAGCACTAACACTTCTGTGAGTGCAAGTTCAGATCCTTGTGCAAATGCCAGGTCCTTGTGAGGATTCTGTCCCTTGAAACGGGTACTGGGAATGTTCAGCTGATTCTGAGGTGGCCACTTTGTCCTCTTCTTTCTGGTGTCTGGATTTGTCCCTTCCCCCAGCCTTCCTTTATGGGCTCTCATGTGCTACTGATAAAACAAACTTCATGTCAAGAAATAAAACACACCTTGGGGGGGGTTTAGGTTTTTTGTTTTTTTTAATATAAAAATCATCTCTTCCAAAACAGAAAGTGCAAACTGAAATTATAATCGGCGTATTTTTGATAGTGCAATTAAATTTATAAATATAAAATACAGCTGAATAGTTAGTTGTCTTTAGAATTTTACATAAAATTAAGACAGTAAACTGCAAATTAAAAAAAGACACCCATAACTTTTTTTGAGAAGCTTTCATCATAAATTTATAATCAGTCCAAAATCATTCAAAGTCATTTTTGCAACTGCCAAACACTGTGTGGGAGATTGGCAAAAGTTGTTTGAGTTGCAAGAGACAGTACTGCTTTCTCATCTCTCAAGTTCTGCTTCCAAGATTTCTCCCCACGTGTCGACGTCCATTGGATACATGCTTTTCTCTGGCAAGCTGAATTGTGAAGGAATGTGGCTGTATTTCCCACGAAGCCATTCTTGCTTCACTTTGCTTTTCCAGTAGTTTCTCAACAATGTAATCTGGTGGAAAAACAGGAAGTCAGATCTCAGAAAGGAACCAAATTAAACTGCATTCAATATAACTAAGTTTAGCACTAGAGCAGTAATGATAGAAAAAGGATTTGGAATGTGACTTTGGACATCTAGACATTAAGCCCAGGAAGGTGCAATGCTGCTGACAAGTAGAACATGCTCCACTTCCAAATCTTCTGCTCCTGCCTCAATTCTTTAGTGGTCAAGAGGAAAAACCCAAACCAGGAATTCACCTTACTCCTTAAAAAGGCACTTTTCACTTTCTGTTTAGGTTGGGACCTTTTGTTTGGAGGTTGGCTGGATTCTTCTCTTCTGCCAGTCTTTTAGTGCAAGAAAAGGTAGACTTGGTGTGTTTGTTGCTTCTATTTCAAATGCCCTCCAGAGAAAACAATCAGTGCAGGGAGTTCTGGAAACTGCTGTGCAAGGGTAGCAAGATGTATACACTGAAAGGGTAACCACTATCTGCTCATGGCTGTGCCTCATGCTGCAGCAACCTCACTGAAATGTCAGAGTCTAGTGGCTACTTTTGTTTCTTTTGCTGCTGCTTCTCTCTTTTCACCCCTCCAGTGTCCCTCTGCTCTTAAACACACCAGCTAGAAGAAGGTGGGAGATTATCCTCTAGCTGGTCCAGAGTAATCCGTGGAACCAGTTATCTGGTCTACCTGATCTTCCTGATCTACCTCAGCTTCCAGGCGGGATTCAACAGTGAGAAATCAGTCAGCATGTTCTGGAACTGAACCTGCTGCCAACTCCTCAGAGCAGTCTGTGTGTGGGGAGATTTTCTGAACAGTTTATAAAAGCTCCTGCTCATTTCCTTTTCTAGTCCCCATTTTTTTTTCCTGCTGAATGTCTGTCACCTGAGGTATATTGAGACAGCACTATCCAGGATGACTTTTCAGGAAGTCATTCCTCACCAGCAGATCTATTTCCACAAAACACAACCAGAGAGCACACGCTGCCTGCCGGGGTTCTGCAATCTCCTCCCTGCCAGCCCCATCTGCGGGAACGTGCGCTTTGTCCCATGTCAGGGCTTGTGCAGGATGATGGTCAGCGCTGAGGCTGTGCGGAGCAGCAGGAGGACTAATGCCGAGCCGGACAGGCTGCGTGCTGGGCAGGAAAAGAGACAGCCTTGCTTTACCTTTCAGGATATTTTACCAGATGTCCGTCTGCAGGGATGCGCTACCGAGTCACGCTGTCACCGCAGCTGGTCCCCCTTACAGCCCTAGGACGGCTGCGCCGCGCCGATGTCATTTCCTTACACATTTCTACTGGCCCTCCTGGCAGCCTCGTTAATGTCGCTGCTGGTGCTCTGCCGCTGGAGGCGGATTTACCTTCCAGGAATACCCGTTCCCGCGGTCGCAGTCGATCTCCCGCTGGCAGACGGCGCGCACAGCCAGGCAGTGGTGCCGCCACAGCCCCTCGTTGCTCTCGATGGCGCGGTGCCAGCCCTTGCACGTCAGGGACGCGTGGCACAAGCTCTCGACGTCCAGCCCGCTGAAAATCCGGGAGCTGATCTCGGGAGGAAGGGCAGACACGAAGTCACCCAGTCCTCCCCTTCCTCCCTCGGCGCTGTCCCGGCCGGCGGCGCGCTCCGCGTCCATCACCGCGGCCTCTGTGTGTGCGGGCGGCGGCCGCCGGCAGCGCTCCGGGCTGGCTGCCTGCCCGCCTGCTGCCATGTCCCCGCCGCCCACCCCGCAGCCTGCCCCGCAGCCTGCCCCGCAGCCTGCCCCGCAGCCTGCCCCGCAGCCTGAGGCGACTTTCGGGGCGAATCCTCGCAGTTTCGGGAGTACGGAGGCGGTGCCGCCTCTCGTCACGGGGCGGCCGCGCGTCATCAGGCGGCGGCGGCTCCGGCCCGGCCCGGCCTGGCATCACCTCCACTCCTGTCCCGGCGCCACCTCCGCTCCTGTCCCGGCGGCGCCGGCACCCTGGAGCTGAGGCCGGCCCGGCCCCGCAGAGCCGCGGGTGTGAGGTAGCGACGCCCGCTCCCAGGGCCGAGCGGTTCGTGTCCGCAGCCGCGGGGTTCGGAGGGCGGTGCTGCAGCCCCGAGCCCGCTCTGCCGCGGGTGGAAGGGGAGGGGAAGGCTCGGCTCCAGCGGTGGGCGGCGAGGATGATGGGGAGCGGGAAGCATCTCTCGTAGGAGGACAGGCTGGGGGAACGGGGCCTGTTCAGCTTCGAGAAGAGGCGGCTGAGAGGCGACCTCACTCGTGAGTATAAATATCCAAAAGAAGAGTGCCAAGAGGATGGACCAGGCTGGTGCAGAACAACAGGACGAGAGGAAATGGGCAGAAACTGATGCACAGACGTTCCACCTGAATATAAGGAAGAACTTCTCTACTGTGCAGTGGCTGCACGTGGCACAGGTTGCCCCGAGAGGTTGTGGAGTGTCCCTCAATGGAGATATTCCAGAACTATCTGGATGCAATCCCGTGCCATGTGTTCTGGGATGACCCTTCTTGAGCAGGGAAGCGGGGCCGGATGACTCACTGTGGTCCCATTGAACCTCACCCATCCTGGGGTTTTTGTTTTTGCAGAGCTTAGCCCTTGGTGTTTCTCTTCATAGGGTGACAGAGAGGAAGTTCAGCTGATCAGCGTAGAAAGTTCTGGAGGGGTTGGCAGAGACTCCCCAGTGCTTCTGTGCAGGGAATATTGCAGCAATTAGAGTTGTTTTTCCCTAATTATTTGTGCTGGTGAATTGAGTAGTGGAAAGGCAATGTGTTGAAGGAAGACCAGTTGCAATTTGGATGTGCTCCCATAACCTAAAATGCTTTTTAGATGTAGTGGCTCAGAACTGAGGCTTTTGAAACTAGCACCTGAGTATCTAGTGTCACCTACAGGCTTGTAGCCTATAGTGAGAACTTGCTGGGAAGTTCTTGATTCATTAGGCATCTGATCCTGAAAACTGCATCCTAACATCGTTGCCTGACTTTTAGGATAGGATCCGATTTTGGAGAGTTGTGCAGATTTACCATAAGGCAAATTCTAAGATGCAATTTCAGCTTTCTAGAAGTTTTTTCATGGCAATAACCAGTGTAAATTATGTACTTAAACCCCAAAACACCACAGTCATGGTCAGCAGTTGTTGGAGTCTTTTGTTCAAAACCCTTTAGGTGTGAAGTAGAAGGAAGGTGTATTTATTTCCTCTGTAAGTTGATGTAAGAGGATGTTGACGGTCAGTTTCAAAACTGCATTTGTTAATGGCAAACATTCCGACCAGCTTCTGTGTTTGGGTCAAAAGTGCATGTTTATATTTGTAGTGTGTGACTAGCTAAAATTGGTTTTGTTTTGTCAGAAGAAAATCAGGAGGCTGATGCAGAAGAAGCACCAACTGTTCATGCTGTTGAGATGTCCTGTATTCCATTGTTAATGGAACCAACACCTTCCAGCTCTGAGGTCCAGGGAGCCGCAAAAATTAGGAATAATGATGCTGCCTCCAGACTTTTGGTGGGTGCTTAAGTTTTTAATGAAGTTTAATATTTGTAAGCATGTGTTGGAAGTTAAGGAGGTGTTGTGTTTTCTATACAAATTAAATGTCAGCCTTTGCTGTAGTTGAGATCTCTGGGGTGGACTGGCTCAGGAAATTCAAAATGATAGTGCTGTTTTCAGTAAATAATGAATGAAGTGACTGGTGTTTTTACAGAGATACAGAGTTTCGTTACTTTCTGGAGAAATAAATTGTAGGAATGCAAGAAAGACTTTCCTGTTTGTGGGGTTTGGGTTTTTTTTTTTCTTGGACAAATAGGCTTTTGTTGAACTTGCTCTTTCTGTTATGTCTGTGTGTGGGAAACTGGAGCAAGATGGTGGTAAAGCTCTTCTATGAATCTTTCAGTTTGTAGCCTTTTAGATATTTACTCTAAAGATCTAAGAAGTTTTGTTTTGTTTTGACTGCATGAATGTTCCTATAGATGTTGTTTTTCTGAGTGGGTGGAAACTGCAAAAAAAAAGTAAAATATTTGAGCAGTGGTCCCCATACAAAAAGTAAGTGGTTACCCAGACTGCTTTTGAAGGGCATAACTGAGTAAAAACTGTGGTCTAGTTTCCCCCACTCTTCTGGATAAAGGCACTAAACAGTAAATATTGTTTCAGATTCCTCCTCCTGATGATAATGAAAGCAAATCTATTCAAAGAAAGAGAGTGCTTCCATCTTGGATGTTGGAAAGAGATCTCCTGGTGCAAAGGGTTTCCAAGCCTGTAATGACAGGAGGTAGGTTTGCCGTGTGATAACGATTGCATTCCAATATGCATTTCTGTGCTTCGATATAATTTAAAAAATTATAACGGTGGTGGTAGGAAGTATTAATTTGCTACTTCTCTTTCCATGCTCTGTGTGGGGCAGTTGACAAAGACTGACTTCTGTTGTTTCCTTTGTCATCAGTCCTATGGGTGTGATAGAGCTCGTTTTCATCAGTTAATTTTCTTTCTGTTCTTTTTGTTTTTAATGCCAGATAATAAACTCTGTTTGTGCAGCTAAGCATTGGATGTTCTGGAGCCCTTTCCTATAAACTTGCCTATTTTGTATGCAAATTCTAGGTAGTTTCTGTCTCTTTAATTCCTAGCCCTCTCCTCCCTTAAGTCACTGATGTTTTGCCCTTCTAAATTTAGAGTCTTAATTTCACAGGTTTTAAGGGTAGAAGGGTTTGGGCGGTGTTGCATGTTAGTTTTTTAATCATTTCTGAATCAAACTTGGTTTTTTAGTCGAAAGCTTATTCCTAGGAGGAGCAGTTCATTAGAGTCTGATAGCTTCTTACCAACACGAGGCTAAAATAGTGTTGCATATAATGTTCTTGTGGGAAAAGAAAATGTAGACCTGTCATGTACTGGTACTGCTGCATATCAGCAGTGACAGCAGCAGAGGGCTGTGCTCAGTCACCGTCAGTGGGACACATAAGGTGCCTATGCATTGGCACAAGCTCTAGAGGACTTTCTGACATGTGTGACTTTGGTCCTGGGAGCTTCTAAAATTGCCATTAGACAGCCTTTCTACATGGCATTTATTGCCTTTGTGACTTGTATGGATGGAACAGGAGGGCTGAAAAAGTGAGAGGAGGAGACTTTCTGTCATTGCCTGTGCTGAATGCAGCACGCCCCGCCCTGTTTGTCCTTCTGTGGGGAGGTGTGAAGTGGTTTGGGTGCAAACTGTTGAGTTTCCTTCGCTGATCAGTGCAGATGTATGAACTGTGGCTGGTGAGTGTGTCTGCTCCCCTGTGTGCAGCAGCTCTGCTTTAGTGACTCTCTCCAGCTGCTGTTTCTGCTGAGATGCTGTGATGAATTTGGCTCTTAATGCCAAGCAGCCCCACAGGAGTATGTTATGCAGTGTCTGGCCAGTTGCTTCTTCTCTCCTGTTGTAAACACAGGTGTCTGTATGCACTGATGGGGGCAACTGTGGCTTTAAACAACCCAGTGATGTGCCATCCACCACACTGCCTATTCTTTTCCTCAAAAGCTAGTTTGGAAGAAATTATAAGATGCCAAAGAAAATCTTGTTTCAGTATTTTTTTCTTTCATCCTCCATTTAAATCTAGAGTGTTCCTTCCTGCCTTATTTATATAAAAATTGCATGTACTTCAACTGGCTATGATGAGTCCTGTACTGGTGTGGTACTTTTCTTATGTTTGTGCTTTTGTTTTGCGTTTTTGGGGGAGTGGGGTTTGTTTGTTTACTTGTTTCTCTGCCAGAACTATAACGTTTGTTTTATGTGTGAATATAATGTTTATTTCAAAGACTGAACACTTTGATTGATGGTGTCGGTATTGAGATTAGGAGCTGTGTGGGTGAGATGTGTCTGAAGGCCTGACCTTGAGGGAACTGGGGCGACACACAAACATTGTTGGAACTGTTTAAAGTCTTTTTCACACATGTTGATGCTTCTCATGACATGTGCCCAGTGTTCTGCTTTAATGATTTCTAGTGTCAGCATTTCACTGAAAAAGTTGCATTCCGAAAATACTCATTTTCCTTTTTTTTTTTTTTAAAGGTGGTAGAAAGAAAAAGGGCCAAGGATGGGGAGGTCAGACAAAGTCATTAAAATCAGAAGTACATGTACAGCAGAAAAAAAGATCAGCTTCAGAAGAAACTATAGGGGATTTTGAAGGTGGAGAGCAAGATCAAGGGAAAAGGAGCTGCCTTTCCATCCCTGTTGCTTCATCTCGGGTAACTTTTTGGCTCAGGGCAGAACCATGATATCGCAGAAAATGAGAATGTAGTTGGCAATGTCATGTTGAAGGGTGGGTCTACAACACAGCTTTTTGTTCTATGTATTCTGCTCATGATTTGTTGTTTTGAAATACCAGTCCATTGGATAGCTCTGTAGCAAGGATCATGGAGTCCTCAAAGATTTGGTTTTCTGCATTTCCTTCAAAGAATCTGGGATTTGGGCCCCAAATACCCCATAGAAGTACCAGACTTAGAGCTTTGTAGCAAGGGGTAAGAAAACGTGGGTCAGAGCACTGCTTCCAGGAGTGGTTGGTGCGTGGGGTTTCTTTTTCTGGGAACCTTTGGGGCTAGGTGATGGTGTGGTACTGATATAATGTGACATTGGACTTTGCCCAAGCTATTGCCATTCTAGTAAGTGAGGATTTATGGTCAGATAAGGATGGTGTGTGGCTCAGCAACAGCTGTGTTTCAAAGGAAAGTAGCATCGGGTGTGCTTATGCCACCATCTTGAAATCTGAGTCACTAAAAGGGGAAAAAAAAGTAGTCTGAAACCCGAAACGATTTGCCAGTGAACAATGAGTGAACAGACCCTTTGGTCCAGCTTGTCCAGTGTCTGTGTGACCTCACAGTACAGCTGCATTTACAGGCAGTTAAATCCTTGCTATTAACATCCTGCAAGTAGTGAAAAGAGAAGGATCATTGCTAAAGACAAACAAAGCATATTCTGGTGAGAGCAAGCTGAGGGTTTCACTGACTTGTTTCCTTTAAATTAACCACTTGGGATGGTGTTTTTAATGTCTGGCATTAAAATTGTCTGGGTGTGTTCTACGATCTGATAAAATACTTAAAATGCTTCTAACACTGAAAATTATTGGGGTTTTGGTTTTAAGGTTAATTGAAACAAACCGAGCATGGAGAGCAAGTAGTAGTAGTAGTAGTTTCAGTATAGGAGTGGTCCACTAGGTGCATTGATAACAGCTGCTGAACTATTTTCTCTTTGCCAGGTTATAAAATCAGTGACTACATAATGAATTATTCCATTTTGCAATGTGGAAGCCTTAACTTATTTTCACCTAATAATTTCATAAATCATTTTAATCTCAAGTACAGTTTAAGAAATTGCTTTCAGGACTTTGCAGAAGAGCTGGTGTATTAGGGCAAGCAAGAGTAATAGCCATAGAGAGCTCTGGAAGATTGTAATTTGGATATCAGAGCCTAAATCTCGGTACTGCTGTCGTCTTTAATTGAGAAAATTGAATGTGGTGTCGATTGGGAAAATGTTCTGCCAGGGAGAAAGCAGAACTGTCCGAATTGTTGTAGGTGGCAGCAGCCGCCAGAAGGCGCCAAGGTACCGCGCATGCTGTCCCAGCCTGGAGCGCCGGTGGCTTTTGTTTACCCTGGATCACAGTCTGGAGCGTAGCTGATCCTATTCAATCCTCCTTATGCCATACAGGCAGCGGGTTGAAATGCTTGGTAGAGAACTCACAAGTGGTAGTGGCAAGTAACAGTAATTTATGCTTTCTTTTGCAAAGGAAGGCTTATTTCTTAAGTTGCAGTGGATTGCTGAGCTGTGTTTTGGGAGTTGTCTTTGTCTCCTAGTTGAGTCACTAATTGTGCTTCTGTCAGGATCATCTGATATTAATGCTGACTTTGCCCATTCTTAATCACGTTACTGCTCAGATGTAATTGTCTCTGGTTTTGGATAACATTTTATGAGACTTGCATTGTAAGGAGCAAAATCAAATAGGAAATCACTGGCTGCTTTTCAAGCACTGCCAAACACACTTGTCTAAACTAAGTATAAATTCATTGGAGGGAGAACATAGAAATCTTTAGAAAGCAGAGATCTTTGAATAGTTCTAGGATGTATCAAAGTAGTTGAGCCATGAATGTAGATAGGCCTCCAGGTAATGTCTCCATTGTCAGGACAGTGTTCTTTCCTCAGTTGTGTATCTCATATTCTTTTTCTAAAGAACACATTTCTTATTTTAGATGTATATTTTTTCCAAAATTTAAAATGCAGTTTGTCTCAAAACGGAAATATTTGCTTAATGGTGTCTAAGACAGACTGTTATTATTTAGAGTCATGAGCTGAAGCATTTAAGATGTATCCATGTGGTATTAACCTCAGGGTATGTATCCTGAGTTCCCATATATCTTCTATATAGATAAATACATATATATCTTGGTCTTAAATTATTAAGAATTTCATTAAATTAATAAGCAATTCCTTAATAATTTAAATTGTTTCTTGAGTAGGAGTCTGCATTCTTCTACAGTCTACTACATCTTCACATGTATAATCCCCAATAATTTTTCAGGAGCAGTGGTTTTAATTGTAAGTTAATTTATACTAGTCCTTGGACTGTTTACAAACTGAGGTGGTGAGAGAAGAGGTCATGGTATGAGGGAACTGAGGCTGAGGAAGGAAGCAGTTGGATAAGCATTTTTTTTAAGAGTGTGTGCTCTCTGTGTGTTTTCTGAACTTGAGGTTTTCATTCAGCAGCTGTGTTTAGCAGTGAACTTGAGTTTGGGGAGTAGAAGATTTTTAAAATCTGGTCTAGACAGTCTTTCAAGGTCCTTTCTAACCTGGGCTGTTCTATAACTGATTTTGAAAGCGGGGATGATGAGGCACAGTTTTACACCCAAGCTTTTAATTCTGAGGAGTGTAAATTTCCAGGTTCTTCAAAGTGTAACCTTGTTCCACAGAATACATCTGGATTTCCTCTTGAGACTACCATGAGGGATATGGAAGGAAGTGGCAAGACTGGAACAAAAAGCCCTGGAAGTTCTTTGGAAAAGAATGATAGGCAGCTGCATAGCAAATGGTCTAAAAGAGTTGATCAGATCTCCAGTAAAGACAATAGAATTGAGGAAACAGAAAACAAAGAGCAGATTACTGGTTCTACAAGCCGACAAGCTCACTATGGCAGGACTTCTCAATATTTTGGTGCCCAGGAAGGGATTCTTGAGCCTGATGCAAATCTGGACTACAACACTGAGATTTCTGATTCATCCAGAAGTGCAGATGCTTCAGAAAGCTTCAAACAGATGCAGCATAAGAGGACACCTTGCATGTATGGAAGTGGCTGTTACAGGTAAAGCAAAATTAAAACTAGCTTGGGCTTTCTTGTTATTCAGAAGTAGTGTATTAGCTATGGAAGAGAAAACTGTAAAGTTGTTACAAGCTTTGATTTGGAAAAAAATCTTTTGGTGAACAGGGGACTGATGAGAAACATAACAGAACACTAATTTTAGGAGGATGAAAGAAGGAGCCGGGATGTCTTGCTAACTCCTAATACAACCCAAACAAGGGATGAACTACTTGACCAAATTAAGAGATTAAGTGTTGCAGGAAATAAAATATAGGAGTCCATTATAAAAGGAAAAGAAATAAAAGACCTGTGTGTATGGTATGAGGTACTAGCAAGGAGAAGAGATTTAAAAGGTTCAAATGCCCAACACAGACCCTGTAGGTTTGTTTTATTAGCAGGTGAGACTTAGGTGAAATATTATTGCATTTATTGAAGCTACTGCCTGCTTTGTGATCTGAATGTTTAAAATGCTATTTGTCATCCATAAATAATTAAGAATTTATTTTATTATAACTTGGTGTTTCTGCAATTTTTTTAAGCTTTCAGTCACCCCTAAAAGCAGAACAAAGCATATTTAGAACTCATGGTTAGCCCTCAACTGGACAGTCTTTGGAAGTACTGCAAGTGAGGAATAACTGGGGTTTTTCCTCTTTTTTTTCTCCCACTCATATACTTTCTAGATGGAGGTGGTAGAAGATTTGTCATACAAATGTTCTAGAGAAGTTCCAAAATACCATGCTGGGTGCCTGGCCTCCTGCTACTTCTTTCTGCCCAGAAAAGATCTGTGGTGTCCTGTGGTGTTATATATTTAAGGGAAGGTTGAAATCTAGAGGTGCTCTTGAGTCTAGAAAATGCCCAATGACCTGTGAACTACATTTAGGAGGAGGTTTTGAGCTCTAGATAATCACATGTACTTTGGAAATACAAAAGATAAGGCTAATCCAGGGAACAGCAGATCCTGTGACTTTTTTAAGCTTCCCCCAAGGGGCTTCAGCAATAATAAAAACAGTGAGTCTGATTAGGAACCAAACAAGCACAAGTGACCAGGTTCCTATATGTTTGGTGGGCCTCGTGCTGAGAAAACTGTGTATATCAAAATTGTAAAGGTGTTGTAATCATGAGCACATTGCATGTCGATTTTCATGTAACTTTGACTTATCTCATTTTTTTCCCCTTAATGATTATGACAAAAGCATGTCTCATTAGACAGTTGTGTTGATCCAGTAGCACAAATGCAGCTCGTGATTTGCTCCAGCTACTTTGAATTTTGCTGAGACAAGTTTTGCCCTGTATGGGTGTTAAGGAGATTTAATGCTCTGATATGATGAAATATTCCTTATCTTTAGGAAAGTAATTCTTAGTTGCTGGTAATACGGAGTAAGAGTCTGTATGTGCACATTTCTTCCTGGGTCTCTTGATTGTGAAACATTTGGCAGCAATACTTTTGGAAAGTACTGCTTTATAAAAAGAATGTTCTGAAATAACAAATAGCAGTCTTACTTTGTCACAGAAATCTGTAAATAGGGAGAATCAAAAATGTCATCTTTGATCTTCAGGAAGTATGAAACTGCTTGCAGCAAGAGGAATGTGCTTTGTAGTCTGTCTTTGTATTTGCTTTTAATTAAGGCCCCTAAGTAGTTGATTCTGCGTGGTGGTGTTAGAGCAAAGATCCAATGTTAGTTCTCGTTACTTGACTGCATTTCTATTAGCCTGAAACATTTAGGAAGTAAATTTGTAACCTATAGTTCACTTTCTTCATTTATGAATTTGGAAACACTGCTTTTGAAAGAGTCAAACTTGTTGCACACCTCTTGCCCGAAGGATTCTTCTTGTCCCCTTCGTTCAGTGTCACTTTCTGAGGTGGCCAAATTCAAAGGAACTGCTGTTATCATTAGGGGACAAAGTGCTCTGTGTATGTTGTAGCTGCCTGTATTTGTTGTTGAGGAATTCGCCCTCTGAATACTGTCACGTTCTTGTCTGCTGCTTGCTTTTCTGAAATTAGCAGGATAGGGAATTAAAATAAATCTACCACCACCCTTTTTAAGGGCCACCATAGAAGGGATATAGAAGACCTGAACTCTCATCTCTGAAACTGGAACTCACAATCTTTCTTCCACAGTTCAATCCTTTTGACATAGCCTGGAGTGCTCTGCTGACTGGGTGTGTGAAAATCTCTCCCAGAACTGTCAGAGCAGGGGATGCTCAAAAAAACATTTGGATTTGTTTGTGGGTTCTTCTGAATACTTTGCTGTTTGTTTGCTTATTTATATGAAAAGAAGTATTTTTCCTTTCAGTCTAAGCTTGTAAATCAAGCAGCTCAACACCTGCATCTTTTTTTTCAGTCCTGTCTCCTATATTTTAATTAAGAATTAAAATATAGAACTTACAAGCGTAATAACGTGCAGTCATGGCATAACTTCCGGCTTGAATTCTATGCTTTTATAAACAGTGCTGGTAATTCATTACATTTTAACTAGGAGGCTCTTCCAGTAGCTGAAGAAATAAGCCCATGAGATGGCACGGGGTCTTTTGCATGGGACTGTGAGGAGGCAGGGATTCTGAAGTGGTCAGTTAAATTTGCTTTATAAAAAGTTTTTAAAGTTGCTTTTGATAGCTACACAGATGAATAACTGTCTTAAATATTTCACTGAGCAATACTCAACTTCTGCTTGAGGATGATTGCATAGATTCTGAAGAAGTTTTAAAGTTTTATTTGCACAGTTTTTGTTCATATAGTTTCCTGCATCATGAAGTGTTGAGTACGCAAATTTAGAGCTTCTGTGAAAGCAAAGCTTTTTTACCTTTATGAAGGTAACAGTCATAAAACCTTCTTATTAAAATAGGCTTTTAATTGGTTACCTTTCATGCAAGTAAAACCTAATGATTTTGTTTTGATCAAATGCATTAACACATTCCTGTGCACCGAGGCTTTGTTGTAAAACAGTTAGCTTTGGAGTGCAACTTACACTGTGATAGATGTGCTCCTGTAACTCAAATATTTTATGTCTACAAATAAATATTAAAAATCCCCAAATGAAACCTTTAAGGAAGAAGCCTTAGGGTTTTTCTGAAAAAAGGAGAACGTTTGCTTATTAGCTATGCACTTCTCTGCTTCCTTTTATTTTGCAGGGCATTGTTGCACTACACAGAATAAGTATACATTAGCCAGGTAAAGCTAAGATTAAATAGGATGTATGTATCTCCTAAAATACAATAAATCTGCTAATTGACAGCTGTTAGTCCTCCTTTCCTTGGCAACTATGATGCTGTATGTATCTTGATGTGGGAATAAGAATTAAAATGACTTCAAAGAACATCAGTTGCTGCTGTATCCCTTTCAGAAGACAAATTGTATTTCATGTGACTGAGAATTCTTGCTATTACTGCAAGCGTGTTAGCTCTTTGCATTCAGAAAACAAAGCAAATGGCCTCTAAATGATTTCGTTTCATCCCATTTATTTTGAATGGGGAAAGAAGTAGGCAGCCAGTTTGAATTTGTCACAAGTGATGTTTCATGAGAATTTGTTATAGAATAAAAGACTGCAACCTTGCAATAATTTCTAATGAAACATTATTGAATTATCCTACAATTTGCAGCAGCAACAAAAGACCAGGACAAGAAGCCTATCACCTATGTGAGTAGATCCAAGGGATACTGGATATTTCATAAGTGGCTTATAGAAGAGATTTATCTGTAGCTTGCTTGTGGAGTTTCCTGAAAGATACACAGCAAATGGGATTTAAAGAATTAATACTAAGTATCTGGTATTTTTCGAATGCTAAAAGGAGGCCTGAATGGCCAGTGGAGCTCACAGTGTTCAAGTCATCATTTTGTAAAAGCTGTACAAATGCTCTTTTGTTATGATGGTAGTTGAAATGCTAAAATGATTCTTGACTCTCCTCCATGAAGTTCATAAGAGGTACTTGTGAATTTAAAGGAGTTTCTCTGATCAGTGGGGATGTTGCTGTGTATGGAGGTAGCTGCACACGTCCTTGGTGTGTTCCATACTTGCTTCTAAATGCAGCTGTAGCTTGTCTAAGTTAAAGCAGTAAGTACTCTGGAGCTGAAAGTTGTTATTCCTCCTGCTCGAGGCAGGCAGCTCACTTTTATAATTTGCAGAAACACCCTAGAAGTTATGTACTTTGGGAATGATTGAGATAATCACTAAAGTATTTTGTAGATGTCTTTTGAAAAACAATTTATTTTAAAATTTCACATTTCTTGCTTCTCAATATTATGCTCAGAAAAAAAGTCTCTGATAAATTATAGGGGAAAAGTAGATTTGCTTTTGCTACTAGTATGTTAATTTTGATGTAATTTTTGTAGCATGTTTTGATCTGTCGCATGAATTTCTCCTGAAGTCAAAACTTAATTTTCTGTATTCTTTTTAACTCCACTTAAACAGTTCTAGAAGGAAGAAAACTCTTCCCTACGTGATGTTTATGACTAGTGAGTGGTGTGTGTACAAAGCTCTTGCCTAGAAGTGGTAGAAATGTTCTTTCAGTGATGCATAAATTTGTGTTCCCTACTTGTTCACCTCATATTAAAGTGTTGTAGAGCAAGATGGATGATGGTCTTGTGCTATCCTCACTAGCGCTGGTGTGACTCAGCTACACATGGACTTGTCTTATGGTACATGTCTTAATGTCAGCATGCTAATTTGTAATTCAAATAAAACCTTTTGTGTATGTGTTGGAGATCTGAAACTTTAAGCTGATGGGAACTAGGAAAATTCCTGGTTTAACTTCTGTTGCAGCAGGTGCTAAGACAGAATTTCTTCTGTTATCCTGAAAGTAGGTCATAGATTCTGCATCAAGTTAAGCATTAAAAGCTCCTCTTCATGTAACCACAGAAAAATGAGCTGTCAATGATTCAGTAACACGTTTTATGTGTCCTCTTCTTGTGTTGAAATGGAACAGTCGGTTTTGATGTATGTTTGTTTTTTGCAGGAAGAATCCCATTCACTTCCAGCAGTTCAGTCATCTTAATGATGATGACTATCCTGACATGGAGATGGTGGCCAAGGGTGACAATGACAACCGGCCGGAGTGTCCGTATGGAACGGCTTGTTACAGGTGAGAAACACTGTTCACTGTGGCTTTTCTTGTTTACAGGTTAAGAATGACAGTAGAATAATGACTGATACTTGGTGTTAACTTTGACTGTAGCCTTCTGAAATTCACTGCAGTCAGACTGCTACCTTTAAAGCACCCAAGTCTCTGCATATTTTTAACATTGACACAGTAAAAATCACTGTTTTGGTAATGATACCAGCTGTCAGAGATGAAAATTAGACTATTCAAGGAGCCCATTCAGTGATCTGGAGATGAATACTATATCTCTTTTCAACATTCAGTAAATTGTTCTTTTATATAAACAATTTATTGTTACATGTTGTTCTTCATCTGTAACTTTTAGTTTAAATTTAGATAATGTATTTGTTGGGATTTTGTACAAAAACTATTTTTAATCAGTAATTGATTTGTTACAAAGCATAATTGAGGTAGCAGCAATAAAATCCAGTTTATGGCTGACTGCTGTTTCTTTTAAGCACTGTTGATTTTCTTCAAAATATTGTTGTATTCCATTTGTTTTTCAGTATCTAGGTTTTACATATTTACAATCTGCATATTATTACAATTTACATATTTAGACTGTATAATTATCAGTCAATAATTTATCAATGGACAAGAAGATCTATTTTGAGGCAATAGCATTTCTATGGGAGCATATTGAATCTCAAGAAAAATTGATCATTCTTTTGATGAAGCAACAGATACAATTTGAAGGGGTTTTGTGTTAATTTTGTTGTCATTATCTGTTGGCTGTTACTTGACTGATCTAAATGCTGTGCCTTGAAAATTATCCATAAAATACCAGGGAATTCTGCACTTTTTAAATGTGGAACAAGGTGATTGAATTAAGGTTTACTGTTTTCTTCTTTGCAGGAAGAACCCCCAGCACAAGCTGGAATACAAGCACAGTGCACCTCCAGGTGGGCCAATTTATCAATCTTTCAGAATCATAGAAAATTCTGAATTGGAAGGGACCCACAAGGGCCATCAAGTCCATCTCAATAAAATGCTTTAATCTCCTTTTAGGCAATAAAGTTGCGTTTTATAGCTCCTTATGTATTAGGGTTCTTTTTTCTGGGATTTTTTTTAAATCATAAATTCTCAGGTAAGATACAATTTTAAAGTATTCTGATGCTCTATAAAAAATGCTGCAAACATATTTGTGTGTTTTTGTGTTGGGTATTTTCTACCAGTGATTTTCTTACTGTGAGAACTAATTTTTGCATTTACGTTCTCTTGAGGCCTTCTTGAGGCCTGGAGGGAATATAACTAAAACTGAATTTGAGTTCCTAATCTAACACTTCATAGTCTTTTTTATATTCCAGTAATTTGATTTGGGGAAAAAAACACAGGGAAATGTGCTGTTTACATTTTGTTTGCTCATAAAGAATTGAAAGAGATACTTCTTGGGTTTATTTTTCTTGGGTGCTTTCTCATGATTATTAGATTGGAGTTTTTCCACGTGAAATCCCAATGCAATAAACAGTAGTTTAGAGCAGAACACTTACGAAAATATCATGATAATGCATTTTACTTTGAAGATTCAGGGCTATGACATTATTAAGAAAGAATAGCATTTATGGAAACAGAGTAAAATATTTAAATGCCCTAAAATATTCCAATTTCCTGCTTAAAAACCCCTAGTCAGAATTGATGACATTTGTCTGCAGATGTTAGGGGTAATAATTTTAAGAATAGTTTATCTGGGTAATCTCTGGGGAATGACAAAACCAGTATTTTTGGGGCATCAGAGTAGCTTTTATACCATATCACAACCATTTCAGCATTTGTTTAATAGGTCAGTTTTGTATTGTAGCAGCTCTAAGAATAACCCTTACGGCAGGGTTCCCCCTGTACTGACTGACAACTTCCCTTTCTTTAGTAACTGGAAGAAGAACACGACAACGAACTTCAAGCAATGGTGAGTGTATTCTAAATTATGGGTGGGCACATCAGCCTGGGACACAGTTGGTCTGCTGTGGCTCTTTTGGCGTTTAATAGTGCCAGAGATGCTTGATAATACTTAGCTGAGGAGAAAGTAGTCCTTGTTTTAGTAAAATCCTTCCTGTTTTCTTACAAGTAATAGCGCTTCAGTTGAATTTCTGCCAGTCTTTCTGGATAAACATACCTGTATTTCCCTAGAAACAGACAAGAAAACAAACATATTTTAAGGAGAGACACATATGGCTAAATGGTGTCTTTCATCTTCACTCCTTATACAGCAGCCATAATAGGATAAAGGAATCCAGTATTTCGTTCACAGCTGGTTATGGTTGCCTTATAAGGAGTGATTTCTCCTGCAACATGGACATACTCCCTCTGCATTGCATTGACCTTTAAATAACTTTCAGGTGATAATCTGTGCATGTGCTGATGAACTTGCTTACTCTTAGAGTGAGGTATTGATGTTTCAGGGCTTGTTAGGATCAAAGTGTAGAAGTTTATGTATGCTGTGAGCACATAAGTTTTAAACATGCTTAGGTCTGCTTCCAGGATTCTTTTGTGTCTTATCTTCCAAATGTGAAGCTTCCTTTGCTTTCTGAAATTAAAAGTGAACTTTGAAGAGTAGTGTGAAAGTCTGATGCTGTGCGGTGTTCACTTTCAGTGGCAAGAGTAAGGCAGGAGGGTGTGGAACTGCTGCATTTTGAGTGGGAGTGGGGATGGGCTTGCCTTCTTTGAGATCACCAGGGAGTGGCTGAGAATGTCCTAAAGGAATCTTCAAAATAGATCTGCTTTCTACAGAAAATAAATAAAAGTGCAAATAGCTGTAGTGTTTTGGCCTCCATTTCTGTTGTGGGTGAATGCAGGAGGTTGTTTTAAACTTACTACTGAGAAATTTCTTTGCCATACCATTTCCTTGTCAAATTTGTGTGCACTTTGGCTGTCACCAAATATTTGCTATGCTTATATCTGTGCACCAGCATATTCTGAGGCGTGTTTGTTACATGTGTGCTTTAGTGCATCCTGTGTTACAAGTACCAGACCCATCTTGGTCAGAGGTCTGTGGTAGAAATTTGTGTTTCAGCATTGAGGCATGCACTGAGTGGTGAAGATTTTAGAATGAAGAAGGTTGGGCTATGTGCATATCTAAAAGTCTAGATATATTCTTGAAGGTTTTAAATTGCAGCTGTGCCTCTCATAAGATCCTTACCCAAATAGTAGGTCCTGTGTGTGCAGCTGATGGTCAGGCAAGGGTGACTCGGAAGGAAGAAGTGCTGCTCTTGTAGCATGTAAAACTTGCACACAGAAGTGAAATTCAGTCTGTTAAGTTCAGCTTTTCTTACTAAGAACAAACTGGGGAAGAATTGATATTCTGCACACATGTGAAAGAAGGGAATTAATTTATTAAGTTCTATTTATATTTGCTACTTTTTTTTTTTTAATGTCTTGTTGACTGTTTTACTTAACTCTGTGGAGGGCAAAGCTTATAAAGGTGGTGCTCAGCAGGTTCACACCTGAGACCATCATACCACGTCCTGCAGTGGCAGACGGTAAGGGCTCCATTAACCTTTTGTCATATTTGGCACAACTGCACCGTTAGACACAGCAAGATTAAATTCCCTACGAGTGTATTTAAATTCCACCAACCAAGAGAAGAGGGGATCCCTCCACATGACAGTTAACATGTTTAGCTTTTAAGTCTAATTGCTGCCAGAATTGCTTGTAGAGAATGTTCTGAAAAATAATCTGAGGCAAATGACTGGGGAATAGTTGTAGGGAAAGAAATGAAAAAAAAGTCAGAATTATGCTGTTGTTAAAATGTCACTACAAAATTACTTCTCTAGATTGTTGCTACTGAGATAAATAACACCCTGTAACCATGGAATATTCAGGGTTCTCCTACACACTTTTGTGTACATTTTCTAGCAAGCTGATCAGCTCACTTCAAAATAGAACATTTTGGAAGGAGCAGTCAGTAAGCTTTATTCCCCCATATCAAGGAGATACTTGCATAGAAAGTTTCAAGGTCATCTTTATAAATATACTACTAGAGAAAAGGCAAAATTGAACTTAATCATGAGCTTTAGGGGCTGTAGGGCTGAATTAAACTACAGTGGAAAGAAGTGGAAAGAAAAGGCATAAAAGGAAGTGCATCACTCACTGCTAAAATCAAAGCATTGATGAGGGAGAACGTAGTATGCACTTCCTATACTTATAGAAAGAATATGAAAGTCATCAGTATTTCCCGGGATTTCTGCTTCTGTTATAAAATACCACTCACAGTGCTGTGAAAGTGACAGAGGGCTTTTCTTTGATAAGCAGCTTTTGGGCTTATTCATAACCTCAGTGTGAGAAAGGGGATTTTGTTCTTACTTTATTCAGCATCTTCATTTTGACCCCTCCCCTCCAAGACATAATTAATTCTGTAAGGGCTACAGTCTGTGATTCTGCTTAGAAATGCTGCTGGTTATGGGCTAACATGGTGTCTTGGTTTGACACAAACTGGGAGGAAACATCCTGAAATGAACATATCCTCCTGCTGCCCGATGCCCCAAACAGAACACAAACTAACA